GTATGTTGACCATGCTGATAGCAACCACCTGTTCTTATCACTGACAATAATTCTCCCAGAGGAGTTCTTGCTCAGTCTTTCATTTCCTTTCCTGCACTCACTCACCTAGCATCACCTTTCTTAATTTTTGTCTTCTCTTCAGGATTCTTCCCCTTCCACAGTATAATAATATAATATAATATAATATAATATAATATAATATAATATAATATAATATAATATAATATAATATAATATAATATAATATAATATAATATAATATAATATAATTCATATCATAAATATAATATAATAAATATAATATAATATCATATAATATAATATCGTATCATATCATATATATTTTATTATATATTATATATAATATATACTATATACTATATTATATATTATAAATTATATATTACATATTATCTATTATCTATTATCTATTATATATATGATATATGATATATGATATATGATATATGATATATGATATGTTATATATTATACATTATATATTATATATTATATATTATATATTATATGTTATATGTTATATGTTATATTTTATATATTATATTTATATATTATAAATTATAAATTATAAATTATAAATTATAAATTATAAATTATAAATTATAAATTTTAAATTATATTATATTTCAGTAACTACAATGGGAAAATCACTTCAACCATAGATGTTTCCAGAGAAGTGTTTCTCTAATTACACCTTACTTGGTGGTTTTGACAAATCCTGCTGTGAATTTCCTGGCTATAAATTTCAAAATAACCTCACAAAAAGTTAGGTTCTCTGTGCAACAAAGTTCTGCTCACAGGGATGCAGAGAACAACGTTCACAGCTTCAGTCTTTACAGCAGGTCAAAGCAACCAATAAGTTGTCTGCAGATAATGAGATGATGAAGTGATTTTTGTTTCTGGGTAGAAGTTGGCATTGCCTGCTGATAGTCACTGCCTGAGGAATCTGAATCATTTCCATGTTCATGGCTTTAGGTTTTATCAGTAAGGCTGGACAAATCTGACATTGTGACTCATTTCTGTAAACTCTGTCAACCATTGTCCTGCTGGGTGAGAACAGACTGGAGCCTAGAGAGCACTTCTGGAAACCTGACCTCACTTGTACTCTGTGACCTTTCTGTTCCCTTTTTATTCCTAAAACCTGTGATGTCATTGTGTGAGCCTGATGCTCTGTGGCCATCTCAGCAGGAGAGGAAATCATGCCATGAGAAGCTTGGACTGGTTTTTACAGGAACTTTCACCCTAGCTCTTCAGTAAAGCTTCCCAGAGGTGTGCTGTGGTTTGGGTACCCAGCACTGTGAGACTCTGGGTCACACCAAAGCTCTGCAGTGAACAGGACTTCTCACACCCCCTGCAGGGCTGTCCTCCTTTGGGAGATCCCAGTTCTTCATCTTGTCGTAGTTCAGTGGCAAATTATTGATTGTAGTGTGGGCCAAGTCAGAATGATTGAGCTTCTCCAGGGCTCCCCTTTCCTCCAGATGTTTGTTCCAGCACCCAGAGAGATCCTGGCTGGACTTTGGGCTTTGTTTGAACATCCAGAGTGTGTCCACCGTTTCCTCAGACTGGTATTAAAAATAAACATATTCCCAAACTCATGGCTGGTTGAATTCTGTTCAATATTGAGTCTCTTCTCTGGATCTGAAGCTGCTTTCTTGACCCTCATGGCTGACAAACCATTTACCACAGTAAATACATTACAGACTTTTTCCACAGGTAGTACGGAAATCATGGGTTACTGAGTTATTAGTGTTGTGCAAAGAGTGCTTATCTTGTTTTATTTTTAAAGTTAGCCCTCAAATAGCAGAAACCTTCTGGCCACAGTGCCTTGAAAAAAGCCCCAAACCCCTTGTGACTGCAGTGCTGCCAAGTTTGTAGGGCAGCTGATGCTGCCACTTCAGTACCTTGGCTGTGTCACAGGCTTTGAAGAGAAGCTTTGCTATCTGCTCTGTTTCTTTCTCTCTCTGAGAACAGGACTAGTGTGGTCCTGAAAGGTTTAAATTTCTGCATTTCATGCTCTCCTCAAGCTATTTTTAATTTTATTAATGAAAGGGACCATGTGGCAGCAGGTCACTGAACTAGTTTAGATAAGTGCTGTAAGGCTGTGTGGTGCTTGAAGAAATTGAAGGGAAGTGCTCAGTAGAATGTAAATGTTTGCCATCTCTGGGGGCTTTCAAGGGGGTAATTTCTGGGGATGTTTTGAGAAATGAGGGGGAATGAGTTTATTTCCAAAACAGGCACATTGGTTCTTGTTTGATGCAAATTCCCTTTTAGTGACTAAGACCCTTGAGGCTTTATCTACCCAAACAAAGACAGGGGATAACCTTAAGCTCCTCTAAATTTGTTTCTGAGCATGCAAGACAAATTTTAATCATCCAATAAACATTAAGCTTGTTTTTCAATTTATATCTCTGTTTAATGACTAAAGATTTATTTTCTAAGAGCTTCATCTGTAGACATTGCACACTCTGATATAATCAACTCATGTCTATGAATGCAAGATGAGAGCATCTCTTTTTTTCCACTTTCTACTGTCTATTTTTTCTTTTCAGACTCATTTCACAACCATAGAGAAGGTGACATGTGAAAAGCCTGTTGCTTCAGAGTGTGGGCTGGGCTGGGTGGCACTGAGTGGTCTGTGGTGGTGAATTCAAACTGTTCATCACTATCTCAGCTTGAATTTCCTTCCTGTTTCACTGTTCATAATAATATAATGTTTCCATGGCTGGCCTGTTCAATATATGGGAGAGATTCATACTATGCTATACCATATTTTTATTTAGGATAATATTGAAAAACATCTGTTTTGGGTAATTAAGTTTTCCAAATTGGGGTCAAAGACTAGTCAAAGCCAGTCTTCTAAATACACATTCAGGGTCTGCTGGACTCTTGAGCCCTTCCATAGAGAAAATAGCAACAGAGAGAAGTTAATTTGCTTCACAAATATACCTGAAGATGGTACAGTGGTTGATTTTTCCAATGGAACATTAACAAACAATGAAAATGTTTTTTCAAGGGTAAGGTAGAACACTTAAAGAAAAGTCTGAGTCACTACTGTCAGATCTTAAAGCTTTTCCATGTGCTGTGTCCTGTTTTCCTGCACTGCTCTGTGGCTGATGGCCAGTGAGAGACAGTGAACAGAACAGCAAATTTCCATTCTCTCGTGGCACATCTTCTCCAAAGAGGGAAAGTGAAATGTCATTTAAAGAAGAGGACAAACCTGCAGCTGTGGAACCAATGTGTGATGTTGGGGCTGTTCCTGAGCCCGAGTGGAGGGGGATTAGTGCACCCACCTTGTCCTTGAACCAAGGGTGATAGGAGCCCTGAGTCCTTTGGTCTGTGTGTTCTGTGTCATCCACACCCCTCAGACCTTGGTAAAACCACTTTGGACAGGCCTGCTATAGCAACAGACACAAAATCCAGCATCCCAGAGCCAGGCCTGAATTTCTGCTGTGCTGTTCTTTGCCTGGAGAATTGTGGTCATGTTGTCAGGGGTGCTCGAGTGGGCTGGAATATCTCTGGAGTCAGCAATCTCCAATTTACTTTTATTGCTGATATCATCTACTGCAAATAAGGTGAGAGACTTGAAAATAGCCAAGGTTATTGTGTTGTGCAGAGTCAAACAGCTTCTTTTTTAAGAAGAAAAATACGTTTCTGCTCTCTCACTCTACCAAATTGTGAAGTAGGGATAGATGCTTGTGGAAGAAAGTCAAAAGTCTGTTCTTCCCTCCTCAGAAACTCTGCTCTATCCTAACTGTGTAATACAAGTTGGTGCAATTGCTATGATAGCTAGCAACAAGCCATTCAAAAATAAATAAAAATCCTAAATATCTGTGCTGTGGGATATTATTTTAGTCAGAAATTTTGAATGGGTGTTTGGCTAAATGACAGCAAAACTGTGAAACCACAGGGGGAGCAAAGGAAGATGGGGGCCATAATAATTGAAGGGATTTACAGTCAGAAGAATAATGCCACTTGAATGCAGTGTCTGTTTAGAGGTCATTAGAGCTGATATTTTGAAGTTCTCTTTTATTTTCTGTGAGCTTGAAGTTAAGCAAGCAGAGACATTTGGTCCACCTAAACCATATCAGAGCAAACATGGTGATGCACCTTGTGTGGGGCACTGTGGTTATTCCTGCTTCACAGCAATTAGATTTATTCCTAGTGATCCTGGAAAATCAATTCATGTAAGAATGCCAGCTGGAGATTGGTTTACATTATTCCAGGATCATTCAGGTCTTGCAGTCAGAATCTCAGGACCATATGACTTAAAAATAATACTGCAAGAAGTCTTTTCTTCTGCATTGATTAGTCCTGAAAACAAGATGTAATTTGCAATAGTTTCCAGATACTACAGCAGGTGATAGTGGAGGTTGGCACTTCTCTATGTTCCTTCCAGCTGTTTTGTTTCAGATTTTGGTTCTCTTCTGGAGGTCCCAAAGTCCCCAGAGGGTGGCAATAAAAGCATGGTCTGTTCTCACCAGGAGGTGATGTCTCTGAATTTATAGCTTCTCCCTTTGGTACAGAACAGAGTGGGGCTCACAAATCTCATGTTATTCTGGAAAAATGGAAAATTTGCAAGGGTGAGATAAAATCTTGTGTTGCCACCCATGTGATACCAGTGTCTCATGATGGGAACTCATCAAAACCAAGGCATTCTTTGACTTATTTTCATTATAAATTCTCATGTCACGAGATCTCAAACACTTGAGTTTTGGGAGTGCTCTTGTTCTCGGTTACATATCTCAAGCACTGTCACAAATGTTCTTTTTTGGGGGTGGTGAGGATGGGTCTGTGTAAGTCAGGATTACCTGCTCCAGGTAACTCAGATTATGGTTGTGTAAAATGGGAAAAAAGAGAGGAGTGGTGGAGGCAAAACTGGTATTTGAATATGGAGATGAGAAGTAGTAGCACAGTGAGACTGAAAGGAATTGTGCTTCAGTATTTCAGTAACTACAATGGGAAAATTACTTCAAACAAGATGCAAAACCACAATGAATCTTTATTCCAAAGTATATTTTAATGAAGAATTGCTTATTCTTTTTCAATAAATTAAACAGAAAAGATGCTACATACCTGCCTGTTGAATACAAACTTAATAAAAATACAGCTTATATAATTCTTATATAATTTAAACCATACAGATTTTAAGACACATCAATTTAGAATATATTTACATAGCATAACAACATTGTGGAACTCACACTTATTAACACTTCATGAAAGTTCATCAAACATCACATAAAAGAGAGGTCAGTCTTGTCCTGGCATTTTCTTGTTATGCCCAAAATTGTCAGCCATCCTAGTTTGTCCTGTGAGCTTGTCAATCCTTTCCCAATGCTCAGCTCCTGAGTCTTGCACTTGCTAACAATCAGCAGATCTTTGGGATGTAAGGCAAGGCTCAGTGTTCATAGAGCAGGTGAAACCTCAGTTTCCCTGTCCTGCCTTGGCTCTGGTGTGTGGGAGGAGGGGATTGTCTCCCTGTGCTGCTCTCACCCTTGGGACAGCCAGCTCTTATCCTGCATCCTCTGGCTGTGGAGCTGCTTGCATCTCCCTCTGCTCCTCCTCCCCAGACAGAGATTTTTCCTTGGCAAGATGCAGCCATTGTGGAGGGTCTCTTCACAGGGTGTTTGACAGAGTCTCCTTGGCTCCTCACGCTTCAGACACTTTATTTTGAAGTGTTAGTTTGCAGCTGGTTCAAAAGGTTCAGGTAGGATTTGGATTTTAAAAATCTGGGATATGAATCCCTTTCCATAAGGATGTACACTGTTTTCTGGGCTTCATCAAAACTTGTGTGAGTTGGGTCTTGAGCCTTTTTGGCTGTTGCTTCCCTCATCTGATAGTCAATATTGATCTGGAACAAAAATAAATAAATGCTGTTAAAAACTTAACTTCAAATGTATTCTCTTTCTATATCTTTGTCAATGCATGCATCTGCAGCCTTAGAACTCTATGATAGTTCAATGTCAGAACTGGAAATTGGGGGAAATCAAATGCCTGTATCCCAGTTAGGCACAAAAATTGTTGTTCACTATAGAAATGTAGTTTATTCTGGAGTCGGAATTATTACAGCTCAGCTTGGAGGAACAGCCTCCAGTTACTCAGAGAAATCCTGTGCTGAATGTCTCCAGTTTAAGTGTGACAACAGACAGAACTTTAACTTTTCCAGAAGGCTGACATATTTTAAAAGACAGGAAATGTTCTGTGGCCAACACAAACGATGTCCAAACACCATCAGCAATTCAAGCTGGGCTGGCCCAGCCAAGAGCAGCCTGTGCTGGGCTCTGCTGGGGGCTGTGAGTGTGTGAGGTCTGATCATGTCCCTGCAGAAGCTGTGATGCCAGAGGGGACCTGACAGCCTGTCTGTGTCTCCTTATGCCACTGAGTGAGGGTCTGGGCATCCCAGTGCAGCCACACCTCCAGCTCTGCACAGGCTGCCTTTATACACACCTGCTTAATGGCATCTGACTGGACAAACTCCTCGTAAATCCTCTCTGCTTTGCCATGTAAGTGATCAGACTTGCTTTTCTTGTAATCCTCACAAGCCAACCAGAACTCGATGTTTTCCTCGCTGAATTCTGACTTCAGGAACTCCCGGAAGACGCCTCGACCACCTAAAGCCAACACAAATAAATCATCATTTACTATATGATACCTGTGGCCAGGGGGGAGAAAATAAATAGCAGGAGTTGGATTGAAATCTGATGTAAAATCTTGCCAAAAGACACTTTTATTCCCTTCTTCATAGATATTCTAATATTAAGGCTCATGGGAGTCTTCCTAATTATGTTCAGTGTTTTTAGATCTGGACTCTGGGTCCTGATCCCATAACAATCCTATAAGAATGGATTCTAGTCCTTCCTAAATGGATTGTCTTTGGGTATAAGTGGTGAGAGAATTCCAGATTAAGGTGATGTATTAAATCCAAGGATTGAAGACTGATCAAAATGAGCTATTTGGGGGTTAATTGCTACCCTGAAAATGGGAAAAGACCCCAAAACCCAACCTGGAAGCCGAGCTGTAGCAGTGTCCAGGTTACACTGGAGCTGTAAAAAGCTGAGGTGTAGCTGCCCATTGTCTGACAGTGTTTATACAACGCTACAGCTTTGCCTATTTGCTGAGATTAGATAAAACTGTGGCCTCAGAGTAGGAACAAAGTCAGACTGAAGTAACAGACTTACTTTGGCTGGCCAAGAGCTTTTCCAAGGACTGTGACCACTGAATAACTTCCTCTGCAGAGAGCCTGAGGTGAAAGGAAAAGAAAAGGCTTCAGGCAAGAAACCATGGGGTTTTGTTTGGATGTCTGAAGGAGGCAACTTTTATAATTTATTATTATATTCCAAAAATATGTGCCAGGTATTTTACTAAATCTATGGCTTTGTCATCATCTGAGATCCTGGAGACAGCCCACATCAAGAAAAATAATCAGAGATGGGAAAAATATGGAGCTATGATGTTTAATTCTGTTCCCAGGAATATAGTCTTTTACTGCAATTGTGATAAAATCAGCTTGTACCTGTATTTCTGCTCCCATATTTTTGCAATAAGAATGGTAATACCCCTACTCCTCATTCAAGTGAAAAGTACTTTTTCTTGTCAGACTTTAGAGAACAGTTACAATGTCCCTCTGATAGAAATGGATTTAAATGAAGTGTCTTCTCCCTCACTGTTTGATGCAAACAAATCAAATCACTAATTGAAAATCATTAACTCCATGAGTAGTTTCTTATTACTTATGTTCACCTCTCCTGCATTTTGGAAATTCTAGATATTTTTACAAGATTTGTTGTTCTAGAAGCAGTTTAGAAATGAAGTAATTGACTATACATTAATCTAGCTGTGACTGTATTTTATAACTTGGTGTGTTTCTGTACTTACATGATATTTCTGGAGCTGGAAGTCTTGATCCCAGATTCAATATGTGGCACCATGCATTTCAAATAACTTTTGAGGTCTGCACCACTGAAACAACGAACAGACACATTTTAATCCATTAGAACTGAAGTTGCACTTAACTTCTATTTAAATTTTCTTCAAACTTTCAAACAGACTCAGCTCCATCCTACGACCAAATTCTGGGAAGTTACATATCCAAGGAATTTTTTAAAAAGACTGAGGCCCCCACAGTATCCAAATTCTCTTTCTGATTACTGAATCCAATAATGGGTATGCCTCAGCTCAAGCTTTTTTTAATGATGTTGCAGTCCTGGGCTTTGAGCAGGTTTTATTCTTTTAGCCTGAACCACAGTGCTAATTCTTAATCTCCAGGATTAGTAGGGTCTTATTTTCACTTCTAACACATTAAATTTTATACTAAGTTGCATGTACTTACAAAGCTTTTTGCTTCTTTTTGTGGCCTTTGCCTTCTGCCAGCTTGCAATCTTCTTTTCCATTTACTTCAGTCATGTTGTTGTGGGAGAAAAAGAATCCTGGCATTTTTCTGGGCTTTAAGGTGAAGCGCCCTTGGCCCCGCGGATCCTCCAGCCCCAGCTGAGAGCTCCCTGCCTCTGCTGTGCCTTTTATTGAGGCAGGCAGCCCTGCAGGCTGGGGGGAGCAGAGCTGTTTATCGTGGATCCTCATCACAAGCTCGGCAAGTTCCCCTTTCAGTGCTCAGTGACGTGAGTCTTTCTTGAGAAAGAAAACAGACAGCGGTGTCTCGTGGTTGAGGTTAAACCAGATGAGGCTGAATTGCTTTGGGGTTGTTATGTGTGACTGTCTATGTCTGTTACCAAAAAAAACCAGCAAACCAAACCACGACCCTCTAGAACTTTGAATTCTTGTCCATTTCTGATAGCTACTTGCAAGTCAGAAGTATTTTTTTGTTTGGTCAACAGAGATGCAAATACTGCAGTTTTTTCCCGACAAAATTCACTTGTTGCATGCCTGTGTCCTGAATTTCATACTTTTCAGTTGGTTAGGTGGGCTCAGCAGAAAACAACAAACTAAAATACCCCAGTAATTAAGTTCCATATGCAACAACCTATTTGCAAGTCCCCTGTTGCCCTTCAAACCACAACATTACCTTACACAGGTTTGTTTAGACAGGTTATGCGAAAATATTTACAAGTGGTTTTCTCAGGAAGGGGTTTTGAAGCAGCAAGAATTTAATTTAGTTTAATTTTTTCGAGTCAGGTTCTTTGGAAGCACAATACCATATTTTAGGAATACCTGCCTAATTTTTAAGTGACTTGGCATGTATAAATATTAATTAGGTTGGAGCTGTGGTTGTAAAAACAGTGTGAGTATCACAGGCTGTTTGAGGGAGGTGTGAGTTGTTTGTACACACTCGAGTTCCACTGCAAAAAAGCAGCCATGGATATAAAGCAAGACAAAGAATTAAGTGTAACTCTCTATTTATCTGTCCAGGATGGTGATTTAGATGTTGAAATATTTAATCTGGTCCCTGAGCATCTCAATTTCTGCCTGTTTGCTTGGGTTCTTTTTTTTTCTGTGATGCTTCAGAGCTGCTGTGGGGTTTTGTTTGTTTTTGTTTCGTTTTTTGTTTTTCACTGAACAGCGTGTATCACCTGTAAGCAGTTTGTGAGTGGTGTGTGCAGGGCTGCAGATGATGCTGGCAGCTCCTGACACATCCCCAGCTTCCCCTGGAGCTGTGATGTGCAGCACTGGGAGCCTGGGAGCCGCCGGCAGATGGGAGAGGACAGATGTGCCAGGACAGATGTGCCAGGACAGATGTGCAAGGGCAGAGGAGCAAGGACAGATGTGCAAGGGCAGAGGAGCAAGGACAGATGTGCCAGGACAGATGTGCCAGGACAGATGTGCCAGGACAGATGTGCCAGGACAGATGTGCAAGGACAGATGTGCCAGGACAGATGTGAGAGGACGGATGTGCCACACAGATGTGCAAGGACAGATGTGCCAGACAGATGTGTAAGGACAGACGTGCAAGGGCAGAGGAGCAAGGACAGATGTGCAAAGACAGATGTGCAAGGACAGATGTGCAAGGACAGATGTGCAAGGACAGATGTGCAAAGACAGATGTGCAAGGACAGATGTGCCAGGACAGCTGTGCAAGGACAGACGTGCCAGAGAGATGTGCCAGGACAGATGTGCCAGACAGATGTGCCAGACAGATGTGCCAGACAGACCGACACCATCACCATGGTTCTAACGCAGCACAGCCGCTCCCCTGAGTGCTGGCAGTGACACAAAGGTGTTACAGGAATTTATCTCCACGCTGTCAGGTGAGCGCTGCCCTTCGTGCGGGGCAGAGCTGTTGACTGGCCCTTACCCCCTGGGCAGGGTGCAGGAGGAAGGAAGGAAGGAAGAGATGTTATCAGTGCTGGATTTATTTCGTGTCTCACCTGCTGGGGTTTGACATTCTGCCCCGCTCAGTCTCATCGCGTTCCCTCACTCAGGAGCTGTCCTCGGTGCCAGCTCCCATTGCTGGGAAGCTCAGGGAGATGCTGCAGCCAGCCCTCCTCAGAGAGGGGCAGCAAAAGGGTGAAAATCAAATTCCTCAGCAGGGAAAATCATTTCCCGTCTCATCTCCCAGAACTCTGTAGCCTCAGGCTAAAAGTGGGGCATAGTCCTGAGCTTTTAGCAGCTGGTAATTATAAATAATCCACCAGTGAAGGTCTGTGAGTGTGAGGGATGGTGGTAATTCCTTGAAGAACAGGAAGGTTTGCTGTTTTGTACCTGTTATCAATGATGAGCTCTTGACAGGTCATTTACAAGATGAGGAATGCCTTTTCCCCATTTAAAATAAAGTTATTATCTTTATTTTTGGGGTTATTTTATATGTATCAACACACATAACAGGTGTTGAGTCGGACCTTCCTGTAGAAAGGAATTCTCATGCCACTGAGTCTCATTGCATCTCACCTTCCTGCAATAAATATTCTCTGGAGTACAGAAAAAATGGCATTCCTGTAATTTATGGCAGGGTGATGCTGCTGTCCCACAGCATTTGAGTTCTATTCTAGGTCACGCAATATTTGAATTATTTTCTGGATCCCACAATATTTTAATTGCTTTCCAGGTCACACAATATTTGAATTATTTTCTGTCTCACACAATATTTTAATTGCTTTCCAGGTACTTTATTCAGTGGAGGATACCAGTGGTGTTAGTGTGGGATAACTCCCAGGTGACTTGCTGCTTGTACAGGTACCATAACAAGGGACCCTGGGGGAGGTGATAACCTTTGCTTTTGGGGTCTTGATGCTACAGGACTCGAATGCAGTCAAAAGTGAAGTAGGAATAAGTGGAATACTGTACTATGAAGGAGGAAAAAGTTGTATCTACTAAGCAGACCACCTGGAATTAGCTGGTGTTCTTATGTTCTGCTGTTTTCATATCCTGAATTGATTGTGCTCTTAGCACACTGGGGAGTCCTCTCCAGTATTCCACCTCACTAACCCCCAATCCCTGCATTACAACTGGTGCTCCTTATCCCTGGGGAAAAAAAATAAAATAATTTTTTTAAAAAATAAATCTATATTTCTCTACCTTTATCTCTCTATATGTATATATCAGTGCTGCCTCCCTGGTTCACCCTAAGCCAGGTCTATTTGTAAACCTGTGTAATGATTCATGCAAGAGGGTACGTGTAGAAATGTACAAATGTAGGGAGCTGTGAGTGTCTGATTTGGAGAAGGGATTAACATTTGGCACATAAACTCCTAGCTTAGGGTCACAGAAAGTGTAAAGACAATGTAAAGCCTCAATATCCTCCTATCTTCCTCTAAACACTGCTCAAACTCTGCAGAACCAAAACCTCCTGCATTCATTAGCAGACATATCAAAGTGGGATTATCAGTCACTTTTTTCCTCCACTGTGGACAAATGCTTTCTTCCTCTGAGTGAGTCTGATCTTCAGGGAATCCCTTTTGTTCTCAGTGGAATATTTCACTGACTGATTCACTCTTTCTGTGCAATCTCTAAGATTTCACTTGTTGAGCCCAGTGCAAGTTTCCCAATCTCAAGAATGGGAAAAACTCCGTAGGAGAATTGGGTACGCGTACAGCTGAAGCGAGAGGGAAAAGAGGAACTGTAAGATTCATAGGGCTGGCAAGAATTTTATTTATTGCTGGAGCAACACTCTGCTGCTACAGACCACAGAAGAACCAGGGAGACACCTGCATGGAGTTTCCCAAGTTAAAAATTCTTTGCTAACTCTGACTTTGGTTACTGTAGGGGATTCTGCTTTATGAAAGAGCTGGACTAGGTCCCACAGGCGGGTTTAGATGCTGGTTCCCTGCATTTTTCATGATTCTATTGTCCTGAACGCTCTGACTTGACATTTTTGGTGACAAAAGTCTACTTATTTTCAACTTCAGAAACACAATGCTTCAAACCAATGTGTATTCATCCATATTCAGGGTCACTGTGCTTGTTTCACAGAAATGTCTGGTGGGATTTTGCGAGATACCAGGAGGAACAGTCATGTCCTGACCCAGCAAAAAGCTTCTCACATAACTTCTTCCCTCCTGATTTTCTCTGGATTTCTTTCAGTTTCATCATGGAATGGCTGGTAACAGAGCTGCCTTTTTAATCTCCCACAACCTTAATCTATCAATAAAATAAAATAATCAATAAAATAATTTTCTCTATTTCATCCATGATGGCCAGTTCCTGCTTGAAATACTCTCTTGCTTAATAACCAGTCTCTTTTCCTGATATTACAGGAAATTGCAAAAAAATATATTTTAAGCCTCATATTTTTAGGGCTTATTAGAATAATCCCAGTATTTGATACAAAACCCTCTTTGTCTTAAGGTTGGCATTGTCTTGGTTGATTCTGTCCAGTAAAAGGACAGAGAAAACCTTTTTGCAGGAACAGCAGCATAGCTGGCTCTCACCAGCTGCTTTCTCTTGGAGGCTTGTGAAGAGTAATTTCATGTTCACAGAAGATGCTTACAAATATTTGCTGATATTCAGCCTGTGTCTGTGATTCATTTTCTATTCTTTATGGTGTGGTATAAGAGAAAAAAAAGTGAGAAAATTTCCAAGGTTACAACACTGGACAAGTTTGGTTAAAGCAAAGAGGACAAAAAGTTCCACAAACTCCAAGTCCCATTTGCTGGTCAAAATGATTTCAAGCTTCTCCTTCTGACTTCTTCTTTTTTGTTTCTTTTTGGTCACTCTTGTCTGGCCATTCATTCTCATCTCTCTCACTCATTCTCCATTTCAGCCCTGCTTTGTTTCTGAGGTTTCTGTTTTGGCTTGGGCAGGTTGTTGTCTTCCTCACGTGGCCAATTCCCAGCTTTGCTGCTGAGCACAAACCTCCCTGGAGTGGATCTGTGCTGAGCTCCAGTGCCCAGCCAGGCTGCAGAACTCCCCTGGCCCATCCCGTAGCTGAGCCTTAGCTCAGCTGTGAAAACAAGTGATTTCTTTGAAATGCCTCTGTCTCTTATGTGACCTAAAGAAATCAACTACTGATAATCCATCTCTCTGTCACTTAAGCGAAATAGAAACTAATTTCTGTGGGAGAGGAAATAGTGTGCATTAAAAAAAAAAAAGGTGCTTTTGAGCTGCAGTGATATT